ATCACTTAAAGAGCTGCTCCGCTATTTTTCCTCCCTGTCCACCAATTATGCAGGGCTTTTTTTTTTTTGTTATTATTTTTAAAGATTTGTGCTGGAACTCGAGTAATTCCTAACAACCAGAAAAATACCTGGGCGGAAAAGACGGCTTGGGAAATAATATCTTCTAACAATGAAGAAAGACCACCTTTACCATGTTTCTATTCCCATTATAATTAATCCGAAAATCAAAATTCTAATTTGGCATAGTTTTACTTATACAATTAATACATTTTTATTGTGGAACTGCTTTATATATTTTTCTTTACCAATTAAAAATTGTGGTTTTACACAGGGAAGGATGTTAAGTCAATATCCTATTAAAGTTAAAATGTATGACATATAAAATTAGCACATTTTTTGAAACTCAAACATTTTCCAGCATATATATTTTTCTTTGAGATTTTCGATCTAGTTTTATTACTTATTTAAAATTCTGGAAATGTTTTCTCTAATACATTTTAGTTTTAAAGTTAATGACTTAAAATCTTTTCAAAAAACGTATATCTTTTAGTTTAAGTAAATATTTATATAATACAATTTTATACATTCTAATTTAAATTAATTCAAACTTTGCCACAGCGCAAATCATTGAAAGGCATCCTCCTACCTCAAAATTCAATTTACATAAATTTAACGTAATACAATTTTTGAAAAAAATTTTAGCATTTATTTTTTTCCTTCTAAATAAAAATAAATTGTTTCATACTTATCATAACGCTACACATTGCCTATTATACGTGCCTATTATACGTGCAACCACAAGCTGGAATAGAAGAAACTAATTTTTTTTCCAGTGAGAGGTAACAATTTTGCTTCAATTTAGATATCCCTTCACAGACAGTGTAAATAGCCTTAAAAAGAAAAGAAAACGAAAAATACCCCGAAATGTAATAATGTCTGAATATTTCTGTAGGAATCTTGTACAGGAAGTGCCTTTTTATCCCCAAACGCAGGCAATCGATTGCTAGGAGTGAAATAACCTCTCCCCCCTTTAGGGTGTTTTTTAACCCGAGTTGCACACACCATACACCTGAGATAACGTCACAGTAATAAAGTCTCCCAGAGGACCGAGAAAGGGTTGAAAACAGATAAATTACTCGAGCGAGATAAAACGCGGAGCAGTAGCTGGAGCGAATCTTTTCGACAGAGAACCCAATAAACAAGTCAAAAGTCTCACGCAAAGAAATCGCCATAAAGAAAAAATAAATAAATAAATGCAGAGGTTTTTTTTCTGGTTAAATTACGACCAGCGATAACATTCTCCCATATACCTCGCTGAATTTTAAATTCACAATTAACCTGAAATTAATATTCCAAACACTTTGAAATAAAGTGGCACGGACCTTAAAAATTAACGATAAGGGAAATGAATATCTGTTTGACATAAAGCTTGACCTGAGCGACATTTTTTCTTCTTTTTTCTCTCTTTCCCCAGGTCCTAACAGCACGCGGTTGCTGACCCGGGTTGACATGTTGGAAGGGAAGGATTTTCGCATCTACTTTTTTTTTCGAAGGAAGAAAAATAACTTAGTATTAAATAAAGCAAACGTAAAAAGCTAATGTACCACAGCACCGCATAAATCGTCGCATTTTTTGGCCGTTTTAAGATCATGGTTGCCTATAGGGTTTCTTTTTATGTGGGACTGTTAGGGTATGGAGAGATAGATGCACTTCAGACTAAAAAAAAAGGTTATGGAATGTACCTCTTGCATTCTTAGAGGAATTTTGTAGAGTAAGGTCAGTTTTTTGGAAACTTAGTAATCTGTTTCTGTCATAATTTGCCTTTATATCTACTTTAAAAGCACTTGGGACTTTTCTTGTAGGTTCACAGATGCAGGAATTTTGAAAATCTCAACGGAACCCTTCAGGATACGAGATAAGATATGACAGAATAAATGAAACAGATGATCAATAAATACAGTTTGTTTCCAATACATTTTTAACAAAATGACCTTATGTAAAAATGTATTATTCTATTGTTTTTAAAAAGGGGATTTTGGAAGACCGTTCTGTCTCACCTATCTTGCTACAAGAGCTTGTGATCACTGTGTCATGAGTTCGAGCATTAGACCCACTGAAGACCCTCCTTATAAAGGGGTTGATGCTCGTTAAATTCTTCGAGGCTCAACGTCGTCTGTAATGTGAAAGTTTGGATAGGAGGTGCCATCTAGGTGTCGTCTTCGTTGCTTGATCGAGGCTCAAAATTACGAGATCCGATGACAACAGCCCTCGTAGGGATTTATAGAATGCGACGTCAGTAAATATTATATTCAGTATAAATATTATATTCGACTTAGTGAGATGTTATCCAAAAAAATTTTAACTTTTGTAATATATTTATCTTTAAATTTATTAATTCACTTCCTTGGTGAATGATCTAGAATTAAGAACGGTATTGAATTTTGTGTGAATTTATGTAACTTTTTTTGAAATATATTATCTTACTTATTGATCAATAGTTAATCATGATACTACTACTACAGGGTTATACGATAGTAATGTTGTCGAATGTTGTAAACTGGGCCTTCTTTCCTTCCCCAGTGGCTCGACAGCCCAGGGTGAGCTTTAGCCTTCTCAAGAAGCCTTTTTCAGGGCAGCCATCTTCCGCTAATGTACTCCAATTCTTAGTTCTCAAGACTTGGAGATATTTTTCTAGGCCATCAATCCATCTAAGATTTGGCCTGCCCTTTCTTAAACTACACCCTTAATCTCTAATTAATTATTTGTATTTTACAGAACTCAGTTCGGAAATTTAATAAAAATTGTTATTAAAGAGTAAAGCCTTTAATAGAAAAAATTTTTAACTTAAGTGACTGATAAAATCTTGTCAATTTTGTCAAATATTGCAAAAAGAAATTTTTTTAAGATGACTTCGTTTGGAGTAGTGAATTTATATACAAAAGCGTATAAAGGAATAATGTTTCGATAGTTAGTGAAAGCTGAATTAGAATATACATATAAAATTGTTTTAAGAATATTATTACAAAAAAAATTAAGTACAATTTTTTCTGTTGAAATAGAAAAAAGAATGACATATTTTCAAGATATTCTACTTTTACAAAAATGCTTTGATAATAGTTCCATTTTTCTGTATATTATCTTTGAAAAATATTATACAACTGATAATCTTTAATTTTTTTTAAAAAAATAAAAGGTAGTTTTAAATGTTAAAAAAAATTAATAGACACTTTTATCAATGCACATTTAAAATCTCGATTTCTTAGGTGTTAGTTTTAATTTTATTTTGGTTGCATCGCTGTTCAGTTAATTCAATTTTTTTACAGTAATTCTAAATGAAATTGGTTTAATATGCATTTTAATTATTAATGTTGATTGTTTTAATGTTGTAATTACTACTTTAGTTTAAGGCTGTGCCGCGTTTATTATTTTATGAACTACTTGTGGAAGTGGTAGTGGTTTTCAATTGTTAATTATTGATCCTTTCAAAAAAGGCTCACAATTTTAATTCAACATTTAATATAGTTGTGGAGTTTTGTAAATTTAAAAATTTCTACTTTTCTATCTTTTTTCAATATACAACTATTTTTTTAAAAAGGTACATTTTCGTTTCTGGGGGCTAAGAAATTGCAAAGTGAGTGAGGGAATATTCAAGTCGCACTTTTCACCTACTCGAGAGCTTTCGGCGACGCACCTCAACATTTTGAACCATCGTCAAGTGACGAGGACGACACTTCGAAAAAGAATAATGGAAATGGTGATTTTGTGAAGGGAAGGGAAAATTTATAAAATTAAAGAAAGTCCGTGCAACGCCGGGCCATGCAGCTAGTTTAAATAATAACGGGTGTTTCTTGTGAAGTTTCTCCATATAATAAAATAAGAAAAAATCCCCTTTTAAACTATTTATTTAAAAAAAAAACTAGGTCAAGCACGACAAACAAATCTTAACTATATAAATATACAGACAAAATATTATTATAGAAGCACTTTTCACAATAATATTTTGAACTTATGTATTCAAATGTTTCTTTCTTCATTTTTTTTTGTTTATTTTTTGCCAAATATAAGAAAATCAAATAATATTTATTGGAATAATATTCTGTAAACAATTTTTGATATGTTCATCCTAATTTACCTGCCAATAACTATCAAAAAATGATCCTTTTATATATTTTTTTCAAAATCATGGTTCCGAACGTAGTTACCTTAAAGAAGCAAAACGTAGAACTGCTGATTAAAAGGATTTCTCAATATGAAAATTCTGATATTCTAGCAAATTTCTGATACTGTTGCAAAATGATAAGCCTAAATTTAAATTTTCCTATCTTAAATTTTATTATTATCTAAGAAAAACTGAGTCACCCATCCGGTATAGTGGTTAGTGAAGCTGACTCCTGTGCCATAAGATCAGGGTTCGAATCCCAGAAAAGGCTAGGATGTTTGTAAATGTATAGTGCCTTTAAGGCATGGGAGTTCTCCAAATAGTCATCAAGCTTCAAGTCCTCTCGTGAGGTTGGTGGAAAGGGAAGAGAGGTGGGAGACCTCTGACCCCTTCTAGGGTGCTCTCCCTCAAAATCAGGGTGGGACCGAGCTTAAGCGTACTGTCACCTGAATGGTGCCCAAAGCTACGTCTAACGACAGGCGTACATCTAGTCCTTTGCCGTGATGAATTTCGGAGGCATCAATCTGACATCGTCAGACAGATGGCAATACTAAAAACAATAGAACAAGTGATATAAAAAAGTTGTTTTGTTAAGTCAATTCCTATTTAGGACAACAAAGAGAAATTTTATATTAGTTACTTTTTATTAAATAGTTACAATCAATATAAATATGTATATACATATGACAGAATAACAATATTAAGTGACAAAATAAAAAGCGATTTTCCATGCAATTTTCCATTTTCCTTTCTATGTAGGGTGTAGAACATTTTTGTGTTACTATTTGTTCTTTCATCAAATTTAATTATTCTAATGAAAATGTATAATAGTAAAAAAAGAAATTCCAGGCAGAATTTGAACCTACGACCTTTGGATTAGAAGTCCAACGCGCTATCCATTGCGCTACTAGGACACAACGAACAATTTTCCTTTCTACATATGCTGTTGAACTGTTATTTTGTTTGTTACTATTTATTCATTTTTTAATTTAATGAATGAATTAATATTTGAAAAAACTGTATTAACATCAGGTGTCATCCATTACGTTTAAAAAAATGTAAATGAATGAATAGAATGTATTTTATTTACGAGTGAAAATTTGAACAAGATATATATATAGGGAGAGAGTGAATTAATAATAGGAATTGAAATAATGCACCGAAAATTAAAATATTTCATCATTAATGTGATCACAATTAATATGTATTAGGATTTCAATATTAAAAAAAAGAATGCCTTAAATGTCTTAGAGGCAAAGGAGATAATTATTGGAGTATTTCATTTATAAAACAGTTTATAATTACGAACTGCATCCTGTATACATTAATGTCAAATCAATAATCTTGGAAGCCATTTTCAAGCGTTTCTCATGCCCTATAAATCCACTACCATACATACCTAATTCACTTCACTTCAGCGATTACATAGATTTTTGTTTTCCTTCCATCCACAAGGTTCGACAGCAGAAAAGAAAGAACCAGGGTTGGCGACAAAATTATGTTTCGTTCCATCCATCAGAAATCAAACTAAGTGCGAGAGGCTAATTAAAACTCCAATCAAAACTCGTTCGAGCGGAAATTTAAAACAGAGCAAAACATTATGAACGCCCGTCTTGTTTTTATTGGAGTCAACGTTGTTACTCGGCAAACAAGGTATTGCTGTGTTTTGTTTACTTCGCTGATAGAGAAATTACTTTCAGATGAATGAATGGAGATTTAAGATTGTATCATCTTTGATTTCACTTGTGATTTAATAGAGTGGAAGATGTTTGTCAACTCGAAACAAGATCTTCCTTTTAAATCTGGTTAATATTCCATGGGCATTTCATTCATGCTAAGTGATCTTAAAAGAAACACATATTCCAGATATTTGAGACAATTATAAACTTTTCAAAAGGTATTTTCAATTTTAATCATGTTAAATTATGATCTTAAATATAAAACTATCTAAAAGTAATCCTGACTGATTTTTTTTAAAATTCTTCCCTTCAGTATTTATTGTCAATAGAATATGTTTACCACATTGTGGCTCAATATAACAAAGAATATCAATGTACTCTATATTTGTTTAACCAAAATTCATGTCAATTTGAATTTCTTTAACTTTTATTTTTATTTTCTCAACTAAAATTCTTTTTCTTATCTTAATTTCTATTAAATTTTTTAAATTACCCCTTAATCATGGCAAACCTCTAATGCTCAACAATAACCTTTATGATTAAGACCTCCTCTGAGATCCTGTGCCCCAATAAGCATTCTACCATATCAATTTGATTGCTTTCGATTATTATTTGTTTTGGCATTCCTCTGGACTAAGACGGTCGGATTTTAAATTTAGGAATTATCCAGATTTTCTTGTAGTAGTAAAAATCATCAATTATTATTGCTATTCTTAATTTAATTTGTTTCACTCTTAAAAGCTCATTCCTAAAAATATTATATTTTCCCTTACCTCTTTAAAACTCTATCAGAAGACTCATTTTACTAGGTTATTGTTAAATTTGAGCACTTTTCTCATCTAAGACGTCCGTATTTGCTCTTCAGGAATTATCCAGATTGTCTGGAGGAAGTAGAAATCATCGATTATTATTGCTATTATTGATTTAAGGGCTTTCACTCTTTATAACTTTATTCCAAAGATTTCGTATTTCCACCTTTCATCTTCTGACCTTTATCAAAGGACCAATCTCTTACAAGCTTTTTGTTCGAATTGTCCTTTTCGGGTATAGGAAAATGTGTTTTTTTAAATGTCTTGGGATTAATTGATTAGTTGTTTATTAACGTTGCATTTTGAAAGTATATGAGGAATATTGGCGACATACCTCGTAATTTAGAAGCATTATCAAGTGCTGAGGATAAACACCTGAGATGGCCTATTACTCTCCAAACTTCCTCACTATACTAACGTGAGAACTTTGAACCACGAAAGATTGAGTGTGCTTCAATCCCTCTAGACGACATGTCTTGAGAAGCACCAGGACTCGAATTCCGAACTTGACGGAACAGACACAACACCTGCCACGAGTTCGCAATCTTTACCGTATGGCTACCGATCTATATTATCCTGAAGAGTACGAAGATATGAATTGTTTCTTTTTCAGAAACCGTTTTAATCGCCATAGCACCCTTCGAAAAATTTTATCTTTCCACTGTTTATCATCAGAACTTTATCAAAAGATCAACATTTAATATAAGCAATCACCATCATGTCGTGTCATGTAATATATTATCTCCGACCTTGAGTTCAAACAAGGTTTCAGCTACATACGAAATTTTTTTTTAAGAGAACATGGTGAATTTTTGTGTGGGCAGTTTTCATAATTACTAATTATTTAATTTTTGGACAAAAAAAATTCTCAAAATGGAAAGGAAAAAAAAATTTTAATAAAAAATTAGAAAAAAAATTAAATACATACGATCCATTTTGAACAAAAAAACTTATGAATTTCCTTTTTTTCGCCATTTATATTATTTAAAATTTCCTAAAAGATGAGATCTATTCATTTTTAGAATACCAGGTGTTCCAAAAATAATGATCCATTTCCATGAACACACTAATGTGTCGATTTCTTTCATAGGTGTTAGACGAAATGTTCTCCTTAGAAGAAAGAACAGCCATCGTTTCCTAGAAATTGGGTGGTAAAGCGCATGAAGAGGTTCGTTAGCTCTGTCAATCAAAAAACAGTCATCAACAAGGGCCAATATCAGGCCACTTGTGAACAAATTCATGTAAAGTCTCTTCAGTGGCGTAACGTACACCCCCGCATCGGGCGGGGGGGGGGGGGCAGGGGGCAGGATTCTAGGGGACCAAAGCCTGACTAAAGCCCAAAACGAACTCTTTGTGAGGTCCGGCTTGAAGCTCAAAACCTGACTTCAGACGGGCCCTAATATTCTACGTTACGCCACTAAGTCTCTTGACGGTACCGTCAGATATTGATGGGCATCTGGGATGTTTTTCATCCACCAATCTACCAGTTTGTCTGAATTTGTTCACAAGTAGTCTCAAACTGACCTGTTGGAGGCTGTTTTCCGTATTTTCTCTGTTACAGCTGACACACCTCTTCCTTTGTTTTACCACCCAGTTTCTAGGAAGCGATGGCTGTTCTTTCTTCTAAGGAGAGCATTTTTCACACATGTAAAAGAAATAAATATATTAGTGTTTTCATGGAAATGGATCATTAGTTTTGGAACACCCTGTATTTCATGTCGGCCATTGTATGGAATCCCTTTAAAAATAACTCGTAATATTTTTATAAGTGGATGTATATTTTGTTATAATAAAGGGACTCTAATTCAGAAATAAATACAAAAAATTATATAATTGTACAAAGCATACACAAAAAAATTTCAGTCTATTATCTTCGTAACTTTTCCAGCCCAATCTCTGCTCCGTTTCAAATTTTCTAGGGGAAAAAAACTCATTTTACATAAAACGCTTTTAAAGTCGATAACTGCACTCTGAAAGTGGAATCCGCTGTTAATAAACCATTCTTAACTTTTGTAGTAGTAAACGAAAAAACAAAAACTTGACATTCTAATAAAACGCAATATAAACTTGACAACAAGTTCGAACCATAACGCATTTTATCAATTTCGGACGAAAGCAATTTTAAGATAGTTAGTTTTCTTAAGAGTTACGACTAATGAAAAGTTCTGAATTGGATATTAAAAAAAAATAAAAAGAAAACACGTAAAAAAAAGATTTAAAGACCCTGTGAGCAATTTCCTGCATTACTTCTTCAAAAATAATCTTGAAGCTTAAAGGAGCTTAGGGCTCTTTTAGTCGTTAGTTTCAAATAAGGAGAGTGACACATTATGTAAATAGAATTGTTAAGCATCACAATAAAAAACTGGAAAAATCTTTTTATTTTACATTCCATCGAATCAGGGTTAGTTACAGATGTAATACGTAAATAGAAACAGTATTTATATAAAAATAATTCGAATGAAATAGCAGGCCAAGAGAGAGGGAGATTAAGAAAAAGTACAATAAAAGAAACAATTGCGTCTTTCAACGTTATTATTCAAGAATATATCCTGTCTGGAAGGAAATTGCGGTTTGAGCTCACACTTTTGGAACAATACCACTATCTCAGTAATCCGAAAGTTATTCAACCGCCTGTGTGTCAAGTTGATAATGTTCTGAGTCATGTTATATCCGTCATATTGCAGAAGGTTCTTCGAAGGTTGAACAAATCCTTGCAACAAGTGGAGACCAATCGAAAATTCCAGAAGCATGGAAAATTTAGTGCTTGTTTTCAAAGGGCGTCCATCCCACACTTCTAAAGAGTGCTATGTATTTTGTCACCCAAGTCTGAAGGCTATCGAAAATGCCGAAATCCTAATTTAACGTCCCATAATGGATTCCGCTGGTCGTAAATTTAGGCTTAAGCTCCCTGCTGATTGTTGAATGGTTGATGAACGCATCCATCACTGGATCTCGTTAAGGCTTTAAATCGCCCACAGATTTTTCTTCGAAGCACTTTGGGAAATTTTATCTCTACGCTAGTATTAGTTTCCAAACTCAAATCTTTGAGTTTCGTAAGAGGGTTCAATAGGTAACGATCTAAAGTGCTTCATAACAAATTTTAAAATTTTATAAATCATTCTAAATGAAGAATATGTAGGCCTAGCTCTGAAACTGGAGTCGATCCTAATTGCTCTTCTAGGGAGGTATGTTCATTTGCGTGAATTGCTTCTTAATTTTTGGTAGGCAGGTATTTTGAGGAATTGAATCCGTTACTTTCAGTCTCAGATTTTGAAAAATTAGTTAAAACTCAGAGTTTTTCTTGTTGCTTTGTTTCTTTTGTCTGATAGTAAAATTTTTGTTACTGTTTGAACTTTGGTAAAAAGTAAATCCTGAAGATAACATGACCTTCTTAACGGCTGAGCTTTTTAATCATAGTCAGTCAGT